TTATACTCATTTTTTAGCCGTGTATCTATTGGAAAAAAAGGGTCAAGTTCCACATTACTACAAGAAGTTTAAAGCAATGGCTGAAGCTCACTCTATGAATCAGTAGATTGCGTTGCGATAATGGCGGGGAGTATATCTCGACAGAATTTAAAAACAAATGCGAAGAAAAAGGAGTTAAACTAGAATATACAATTCGCTATACTCCGCAGCAAAATGGCGTAGCGAAAAGAATGAACCGCAATATTATTGAACGCGCTAGATGTTTAATTCTAAATTCAAAATTGGGTAAAAGATTTTGGACTGATGCCGTTTGAACTGCTGCATATCTCATTAATCGAAGTCCCACGGAAACTTTAAATAACAAAGTCCCAGCTGAACTTTGATACGGACCCAAAACAAATCTTGCCAAGCTAAAAGTATTTGGTTGCGTCGCATATTTGCATGTACCGAAGGAACTTAATAGAGATAAATTTGAATCACGTTCGTTAAAGTGCTATATGATCGGCTACTGTATAAATGAATATAAACTGTGGTATCCGGAAGAAAACAAGGTCCTATTTGGCCGAGATATTGTATTTAACGGAGCAAAATTCGATCATGAACCAACTCAGTTGGAGACGATTGTTCGAAATTCTAAAGAAAAGGAATCGGAAAGAAATGATCAAATCAACACTCCAGATAACGAAGATTCGGGGAAAGAAGTGGAAAAAGTTCAATCAAACGAGATGGAATACGAATCTGCGGAATCTGATTGCGGAGACGGAATACGAAGAAGTACACGCAAGAAACAGCGACCTGCATACTTGTCAGATTATTGTATACTGGCTCTATCCGCCGAAAGTTTTATAGAAGACGTACCTAGGAGTTTTAACAATATTGAGACGAGATCTGATAAGGAAAAGTGGCACACAGCAGTTGACGAGGAACTACAAGCAATACACACGAATAAAACTTGGACTTTAGTGGAATTACCGGAAGGAAGAAAGGCAATCGACAGCAAGTGGATATTTCGAATTAAACAAGATAACTCCGGAAACATTCGTCATAAGGCAAGACTCGTTGTAAAGGGATGCTCACAAAAGAAAGGTCTTGACTACTCGGAAACATACGCTCCCGTAGCTAGAATGACGACGGTACGGCTTCTCTTATCGGTCATAAATTATCGAAAACTGCATGCTGAACAAATGGATGTAAAAAACGCCTTCTTACACAGATGGTTAAAAGAAGAGATATTTATGAAGCAATCAGATGGGTGCAACGACGGTACCTCAAAGTTATGTAAATTGAACAAAACTTTATACGGCTTGAAACAGTCTCCAAGAGCCTGGAATGCGGAATTTGCAAGTTACATAAAGAGTATTGGTTTAGTTAAATCAGAATACGATAAATGCTTATTCTTCGAATCAAAAACTAACGTTTATTCATATTTATTGCTGTATGTTGACGATATAATTGTCTCGAGCAATAGACAGCCTAGACTGAAAGAATTGAAAGAAAAATTAATGAGCCGTTTTTCAATAAAGGTCCTGTAAGCGATTTTCTAGGCATCAGAATAAGAAGAGATAAGTTTGGAATGTATCTCAATCAATCGAATTATACGAAGAAGTTACTGGAACACTTTGGAATGTATGAATGCAAACCTTGTCAGACTCCTATGGAAGTGAAATCATCTGCTACACAAACAAATCAAAACTCGAACGTTGGCGAACTAAAACTCTACAGGGAATTGA